TTTGGTTTCTTCCGACATGCAGCAGAATGGGCATCGGTTGGGATGAGGGTGTTGCATTATAGAGCCGCATGGACCTCCAGGTACATCTGTCCAAGTATAGCGTGGATAATTAACTTCCCAAAATTCGAGGACTAGTATATACAAGAGATTTCTAGCTAGCGGGATTTCGAGTGATCTTATTGCAGCACGAAACACTGCAAAAACGCATGATCGTACAGGGCCGCCCCGTGCGCGCCGTCAGTGATTTACATATTTGGATGAGGCGGTCAGCCTATCAAAACGCGCTCGTTTCTGATTTTTCGATAAAACTGAATGTTTTTCGCGTCTACCTGGAGGGAATCCCACCTCCAAGCAGAATTAAAACCGCACTTGAAAATAGAATATCCCAGCGAATTTTCAGCCTCGCAGCTTATTCGGCAAGCGAAATATCCACTCCGGTACAAATATCTTTGAAGTATGGCGCAAGTACAAATCGGTATTCTTTTTAAGTACACGATTTCATATATGGGAGTCAAACATCCTGACAAAATTTCAGCCACTGTTTTCCAGCAAGTTTTCGAGTTAACATAGTATCAAGTCGAAAACTTTGACGTGGTTGTATGCTCTGCACACGCATGCGCGATAGCTGATTTTAAAGCCTTTAGCTCGCACTTGCATAGAGAATATCCCTGCAAAGTTTCGGCTTTGTACCTTGCCAGGTTCGTGAAATCGCTTCCCGCCAAAGAAATTTGTTCGAGGGGTCCTTGCGCGGGGTCTAGGTGCGTGTGGGAGACCTTAAAACGGGAGGGTGACACAAGGGGTAGCAGCATATATCCAAACTTTCAGCTCCCAGCTTTCCTAGTTGCTGAGATGAAAGTGGGTGACAAAATGCACTCGCTTCCGAACACACACACACACACAGCCTCCCGACAGTATGTGTTTTTGCTGGCTGCAGCACGGCAAAAACGCATAAAAATTTCATCTTTTTTTTTCGTGAGGTCACAGAGCAAAGAAGACAGCCTTGAATGGAGGCATGGTACCCCGCAAAACTAGCTTATTTTCGCCGGCGAGGTCTTCCCAATAGCAATTATTAAATCTCGGCTCGGCCGCACAATATGCGCTTGTTTTTGTGCGCTTCTGCATGTATGTAGTGCAAAAACATATTCTGACGAATCACGGTGCGCATTTGTGCATATGCTTGTACATGTGTGTATGCATGTATTTATGTGTGTGTGTATGTATGTGTTTGTGTGTTTGTATGCTTTTGTCCGATTATTTCAACTCGGCAAGCAAACAAACTGCGGCGCCAAAATTTTGCCAGTGGGTCCCCCAGCCAAGTGCCACTCCCAGGACCGCAACATAACCTCCATGCAAGTCTGGCCTCGCGTACGAGCATGAGGTTTTGGCAGAAAAATCGCTAACTCGGAAACCAGGGAAGCCGGGAAGCTGAAATTTTAAGGGGATGTTCCCAGCATACGTGAAACTTAAAAATTTCAAATTCAGTCCTCAAGTGTGCGCGGTTCTCAAGTACGATGCAGTGAAAGTTTTTAACGGGAAAATTGCTAAATGGGGAGCCAGAAAAGCTGGGAAGCTGGAATTTCAGCGGAATGTTTCTTGTCCAGGTACCACGTAACTGCACAATTAACTTCCTGAACTTCGAGGGTTGTATGTTACAAATTCTAGCTGCTGGATTTTTGCACGTAAATACATTTTTGTGGGTCATTGACATCCTTTCGCATTCGTTTCCTGCCACGAAGAATATTTTAATAAATTTCCATATAAACGTAATGCTTGCCTATAATGCCAAGATTATGAGACCGTCTAGAGAATCGACGTGGTGATCCCATGTTGTCACAGGAATGCTCCCACATGCCGAGTCCAGAAGTTAGATGTATTTCGGGTCTGCTCTACTTGTACTGGAATGTCTGGTGGGGAATATCTACAATGATATGTGCTTTGATTCGCCACCACTTCTCCCCAAAATAACTTTATTCCAAAACAGCTGATAACTCATTAAGGGAACGATTTCGCCATATACCACAAATGAAAAGAGGAATGAAGGATTTGACTGTGTGCATTTT